GCTATAGACCGTTTTCAGTGGGAGGCTGGGAGGGAAACATTTTTTTAAACAGTGGGGATAATAAGAGTCAATTCATCACTCATTTACGATAATGATGGAATAAAGCCCTCTATATCAATTTGTTCCATTAAATAATATATGCTGTGGTAGCACAGATACTACCCGCACACCTGCGCGACTCTACCCCTTTATGTCTAAAAATAAGTGTAGGTACCTACCAAATTTGATTCCAATCTATTCAGCCTTTTAGCCGGAAGTAAAAGTTTGACATAGGTACTTGCGCATGTGCGATTCTACCCCAAAGCTTTTCAGCTCTTCCTTTTATGTCTAAGAATATGTGTATCAAATTTGGTTCGAATCGGTTCAGCCCTTTAGCCGGAACTGGATATAGAGAGACAGACAGATCAACATCATCCAGATTTTGTTTGATTCGGATTCCTGACGCTTCAAAACGTAAAAAAAAGTGGGGGGCCTTTTTTACCCCAATGCAATACCTCCATTATACTATCGTGAGGGTGGTAAAAATCGATATTCTTACGCTTTGACGGAGACCCTACGATAAGGTACGTTCCACCGCCTTGGACGCAAACTTTTGAGAATTAATTTTCTCGCACCTCGACAAGCCTCATCTGCCTCTACTTCAAAAGACGCAATCCCAACGGTTAATGTGCAATTGGTTTCTGATTGGCTGCTGGTAAACTACATCTCGCCATTTTATTAATCCTTTCTGCTATCTTGACGCCTACTTGGTAAAACCACAAAGTTACACTTGATTCATTCTTAGCCAGAGTAAGTCTTCAATTTATCGAATTATTATTTGTGCAGGTATCCTACTAACTCTACGATAAGCAGACGAATAAGAGCTCAAAAATCAAAGATTTGCTCACTTGCGAGTTTTTTACGTTTTCTGCTTATGTAGCGCATACTTACTCGATAAATAAGCCATAAAAATTAATCTTGATTCACGTTCAGACTTTATTAGTCTCTTTATTCTATAAATCTTCAGCTCTAATTGTTAAGGATGTTTTTATAGATTTGTATGGTTGTCCATTTGTGTGCTCTGTAGGTAATTGCTTTTAAAAGTCACTGATCGTATTGAAATTTGTTGTACGGATACTTTGGACTTTAAGGTAGGATGGCCTTGGAAGGAAAAATTCAATGTTAATATGTGGAATTAGTGAATCGCAACTCATATTGTTCATAGATTGAACACCGAAGTTTTGTTAATAGGATCCTACTTCTGAGACATTTGTCCATTGTGCGAGATATCCAACCAGTTGAGATTCAAGATCAGTCACAGCCTTAGAGCACGTAATTAGTTTGTGTACACTGTTTACAGTACTTCCCATCCCTCACGACGAAAAGTGTTACGTTTACAAACAAGTCAATAATTCGATAATTCCCACAAATCTAAAGGAATGCTCAAAAAATAAATTAAACTTCGGGGCAAGACCACATAATCAAAACAACCATACATTGAGCAAACATTTACACCAAAAATGATTCCAAACAATAAAAGACCATTTCATACAAGTCATGCAGCATCGAGGTTAAATTAAAGGTAATAATAGTTGTATTAACATGTGGCGGGTGTCGAACGATGAAGTCAAAGGCACCGTCGTGATGAGAAAGAAACGAAGTCGAAATATATTTAGAAGATCTCCAACCCTTGAGAACCTCATTGCATTTAAAAAAGCACGTGCTAACGCGCGGAAAATAATAGTTTCGAGCAAACGAGACTCATGGCAAATGTATATCTCTACCATTAATTCTAACACTCCATCAACGGAGGTCTGGAAAAAAATAAAAGATTGCCGGAAAGGGTTTCAAAAACCGTCAAGACAATTAAATATTGGTCACCACATAATTAGTGATCCTGCGGAGGTAGTGGAAACCTTAGCAGAACACTTCAAATCTGTTAGTAGGTCTGAACAATACAGTGAACAACAAACCTTTCTCCCTTGATGAATTAGAAATCGCTTTACAGAAATCCAAAGATTCTTCACCAGGCCCAGATAATGTTCACTATGCCATGTTGAAACATCTCCCAGCAGCTGAAAAGAAAAACTTCTAAAAATATATATAGAAATATTCACACATGGTACTTACCCAGAAAATTGGCGCGAGGCAATAGTAGTTCCTGTTCCTAAACCAGGAAAGGATTTTAAAAAACCTGAAAATTATAGGCCGATATCGCTTACGTCCTACATGAGCAAAGTCATAGAGTGAATGGTCAATGATAGACTGATGTGGATACTAGAAACGAGATAATTACTTATCTTCTGTCAACCTGGTTTTCGTCGTTATCACTCGGCAATGAACCTCCTTGTAAAGCTGGAAAATGATACATTAGATTCGTTCTTGCGTAAAGAACACATGATTGCAATAGCGTTTGACTTGGAGAAGGCATACAATCTGACATGGAGGTATAATATACTTAATAAATTATATTGTTGGAGATTCATGGGAAACTTACCTGTTTTTATTGAAAATGTTCTCTTCAACCGTACTTTCAGAATTAGAAACGGAACGAATATCTCTGAAATATACTCCTTAGAAAATTCCGCAAGGTTCGGTATTGAGTTGTACTTTCCAAGGACCCATATTCGCAGGACTATACGTTGATGATCTGATTATGTTCCATAGTGGTACAGACATTGAAGAAATTCAGGAAACAATGCAAAATGCAATAAATCGTTTGACAGTAATTGCTGAAAATGTTGGTTTTAGATTCTCAAACACAAAAACTACTACCATTCACTTCTGTCGACTATGGCATGAGCATGATGATCCACTATTAAATCTAAATATACACACAATAGAATTTAAACCGTTTGTCAACATCTTAGGGATTATTTTTGAAAGGAAACTATACTTTCGCCAACATAGAGAACATCTGATATCAAAATACAAGAAGCTGAATATTCTAAAACTTATAGCATCGATCTCATGGGGAGCCAGCAGGGATGCACTGCTTCTACAAATCCTATGTAATGTCTTCAATTGATTGCGGAAGCATAATTTATTCTACAAGGGCCTCACAATTAAAACGACTTGACAGCATCCACGCATATGGACTTTCAAATAGCGACAGGTGCTTTTCGCACCAGCCCTATAGAAGCCATACATTGTGATTGTGGAATACCAACGTTAAATCTCCATAGAATGAAATTATTTATTAATTACGTCACAAAAATGTCTGTCTTACCAAATCATATTTATTACCCTATATTGAACAACGTAGAAATTCAGAATATTTATAGAGAAAAACCATCCGTAATGAAACCCTCAATTATAAGGTATATAAAAATAAAAGAGGAGATTAATCTGGATACTTTTACATGGTTATTTGCCCAATATTAGAATATCCGTCGTGGGTAAGCACCAACGTAATCTACCGATTGGACTTAACTTACCACCCGAAACACAATACACCTGCTGAAGTATACAAAATGCAATTCTATAACATCATAAATGAATATACATATGACAAGATTGTTTTTACAGATGGATCGAAGAGTGAAGGTAGAGTTGGAAGCGCTATATATTCTGAGCGGAAAAGCTACTCCTGGTCCTTAAACCCAATATCAAGTATTTACACGGCAGAACTTTACGCCATGGGCGAAAGACGTCATTTACATCTTGCATGTCTGGTTCACAAAATATTAGTATCTGGTGAACCTTTATATTTGTATAATAAGTTAAAATTTCGAAGTAGTATTCACGATCGTAATCTCCGTAACCCATTCTTTCTTGACATACCAAAGCACCATAAAACCCAGTTTCATGGTGCATTTACTTATTTTGCACCACTCATTTACAATAACGTTCCGAACTTTCTTAAATTATTAAGTCCAAACGGTTTCAAAAAACACCTTAGAGTATCACTGAATCATATTTTTTTTGCTTTACTTGTATGCTTACTTGTTCTCACCTGGACTATCATACCATATAAATTACCATAAATTGTTTTAAATACTCCATCATGTTTTTGTACTTTTTTCTATATCAAGGTTGGGATTAATAGCAGCCTTTGGCTGACACCCCACCTAAATAAAGCCGTTATTATTATTATTATTTGGCAAGCAATGCTATTTATAGACCAAACACATATAAAAACATCGATTATATCCTCCGATTCCCTTAGCGCAATTAATGCCCTCCGACACAGCGAAACTAAAAACCCTCTCCTTAACATGACCAAATTATTACTTTATAACATAACATAGCCCAACGTCAAAATATCATTATAATATGGACACCAGGACATGTACATTGGGATAGAGGGAAATATGGCAGCAGATTTGGCAGCACGTACTGCGGGCGCATTTGGGGAAATCGACGATATAGCAGTGGATCAGGAAGATTATACGAAATATGTAAAAAAAAGACCATCTCACGGCAATGGGCGACGAAATGGAGTGCATCTGAAACAAAATTGAGTAGGATTAAACAATCCATTACACCTTGGAAGCCAAACAAGATGCTGACAAGAAGGGAAGAGGTAGTCATTACAAGGATAGGGCATACTAATATGACACATTTACATCTTCTGGGGAAAAGCAGAGAGCGCAGATGCGCGAATTGTGACATACAACTCTCAGTCGACCATGTATTGCTAGAGTGTCCGTTATATGTAGAAGTAAGGCAGGAACTGGGTATGGCTCGAGAGTTGCAAACACTATTTCTAGATGACCCAATCTTCATAAAAAACCGCTTAATTTCCTGAAAAAAAAAAATGATTTATTAAAAGAAATATAGAAATAGTATGTAATACTTACCAAATAGCTAATGGCCACAGTAGCCGACGCTATATAAATAAATTTAAAAAAAAAACCAAATGGTGAAATAGGAAATGAAGGTAAATCACGTAAAACATGTTCAAGAGACCATTGAGGAAATAATGATCGTTTAAAATGAACACCAGACAAAACTTTATTAAATAAACAAATGCACTACAATTATCGAAAAAAAAATAAATGAATAATTGAAAAGCATTTTTGAATTACAATAAGAATAATAACATAAAAACAGTTCGTTACAACTAAACTAAATTTATTTTTGGTAAACATGATTACACATATAACATCCACAAGGAACAAAGATACAGTTGGACGAGTATGTCGAACATACCAAGCTTGCCGAGGTAAAATAAAAACTGATGGCTTAGTATTTTCAACGAATGTTTTCAATCATGATAAAACATATGTCACAATGTGAGCAAGAATGCAACATCAATTAAATGCCGACCTGCACTTTTGCTTATAAATAATATTTACAATAACACAGATTAATCTTATTACTTACTTCAATTTATTATTATATAATTATTGATTTGAGAGTTAAGGCGCACGGGGATCGAAAATTGCTTATGTAGATATTATTCAAAATGACATGATGATACTCGAAAGGTAATTAACAACTGAACATACCCAACGATAAGTATAAAAAGAACGATTTATGTAAATATGAGATAATAAAAGAGAAATATCAAAAAATGGAATTGATATATAAAGTAGAACACATCATTTTGTAATGCGAGGCCCGAATTTTGCGTGTTAGGCCTTTCGTCGACAAATTTGATTAATTTTTTTTTAACGCAAGCAAGTACTCTCCTACAAAATATCTCGCTATAAATCGTTACCTACATTTTAAATTACTATCGAGCTAGAGATAGGCAGTCAAATGCTTATTGATGTACAAACTGGCCTTTTTCAGATTATAAAACTCTTATTCCTTTTCCCTAAATTAGATACACCCAATAATATAAATCATTACGCTTTTCTATAGTTAAATTGCAATGTGGTCTTCAAGCACTATGTAAGTAAATAAAATGAAATATTTACATTGAGTCTACGCTACATAAATATCAAAACGAGAGTGAAGCAGTATGTAATTGTAAAGCGTTTCACTGAAACCCTTCGTATTTGTTTAACCACCTCATTTTTAGAATTTACATTGTTTTCACCCTGTATTACTAACACATTTCAGAGCAGACACTTGCATGCATATGCTAATCAAACTAAAAGGTCGATATACAATTAATGAGCCTAAAGGTAATTCTTTACAGCTATTTATAATTCAATTTCTGCGTATAAAAACTAAAATTGTCTTAATATCAAATTCGAGTAATTTTGCAAGAATAAAATGTACGAAATTTATTACTTGACACAAGTTGTATAATATGTGTAATTGTTACACAGAGTTAAAATGAAAAATACTCATTCTAAAACAATCACAAATAATTTGAGTAATTATTATGCTCAGTCTAACAGCTCTATGTATGTATGCTTGAGAAAATGTACAATAAATAATGATTTGTGTTAAATAATGAACAATGATGCTATCTATATTTACTAGTAACAGTACATAAATACTTTCGAGTTCATGATTTTAAAAATCGACACCATTAAATGTTAACTAAATTTTAATTTCATAAAAAATTTAGTAGAAATTTACTACTTTTAAAACCACCAACTCCATTATAAACAAAACAATAAATTTCATAATGTCAATAATTGCTTTTAATCACAATAAAAATATAATCCGCTTGCACATTATCATTTCTGTGGCAGTGACCAAAACGCGACTGGGAATATTACCATGTATCTTCAGTCTCGCATTCCGTCTGTTCGGTGTTATCGTTCTCTCCCTTGCACGGACCGTTATATACGTCGACACTAATGCCGCCTGCCAAGCGTCTCTTTTTAACGGCGTGCAGCATCGCTATTTCTTCGGCCGTACGTTCCTTACGAAATTCGTAGACAAGTGGAAATATGTATTCGATGGCCGCTTGAACACCTGCCACACTCGGAGCTAAAATGTGAAGACGATTAATCACAAAAGTTTATATATTGATACTGAAGTATTTTGGAGCCCAAATAAGTTTCGTTTTTTCCTTTTTGATATGGAATTTGATGGCCAAAAGTTCACAGCCCTTATCTTTTGTGGTTAAGACATATGGGGTTTTTCAATTCAGTTTTTAATGTTTGTTTTTGAACCGCCTTTATTTATTTATTGTCAACACAGTCTACTAAAGCGTGTATTTGCGATAAGGAGTATTATCTAATGCACTTTAATTAAGGCACATGTTCTGGTGCTGATAACAAGAGCTGCAGGTGGTAAACGATGTGCGCATTATTTTCGTCGTAGTTGGGGATGCGTTCCTGGAGTTAAGTGCGCCTTGTTTATCGAAAACCATTCACGACCAGATTATTAGAAGAGAAAAAAAACTGCAATAATTTTAAGATTTTTATTTTTAAGATGTAATTTGTTTAAATCAGCTCTGTAAGCTTCTCCTTATTTCAGGAATTTCGTTTTAATTTACATTCAATGTCTTTCGGAATAAATTTTTGTCATTGTCAATCGTGTTTATTCGAACCCATTGTTCGACCCGGATAGTGTTCATGTCAAGATTTTTCTTTTCATATCCAATTCAGGTGTTGATCAAATTTCGGAATTCTCCCAAATTATTGGGATTTTTCTTTGTGGTCGTTTGCGGAAGTGTCCAAAGAGAAATTATAGAAATTCTATATTTAAATTTTGATTTGTTCGAGCTAGCTGGACAGGTGCTTGTGGGTGGTGTAGCTGCACACAGCAATATTTACAGATGTAGAAAATTTGCAGAAATTAGCTACCTGGAAGCCTAACAAAATTCTGGTCAAAAATGGGCGCAAATATTTTTCCTTGCGTTTCCCTCTTAACCTTTTGATTATAAGATTTACCACAAAACTTCATTACAAAAGTTTTGTAAGGCGCTGTCTAAAACTCGCAGACGGAGATCCTACTGTCCCCTAGAAAATTTATTTGTATTTATTAACAAATTTATGTAGGGATAGGGAATATAAGAAAACTAAGTATACAGGATCTTTACTTTTGAAACTGAGAACTACCCATTTTCTGTGAAAAGTTCTGATAAGGTTTTCTTTAATTCCTATAATTAATTGTTAGAGAATTTTTCAAAGCAAAATATTCAGGGGTAATAGTCCAAGCCAAAAAAAAAAAAAATTTTAAATATAAATGTGCCTCTCAAGAATTGTGAAAGTTTTTCTAATAGGGTTTTAGGTATTCCTTTTATGTCTAACAATACATGTACCAAATTTGGTTCCAACTGGTTCAGCCAATGAGAGTACAGACAGACCGCATCATCGAGATTTTGTTTTATTTGAATTCCTGGTAGTTCAAAACGTGTATTTCCGTCAAAAAAGTAGGGGAGTTATTTTTTACCACAATGGTAGAAATCAAATGTCTAGAAGATCGTAGCATGTAAAGGACTAAATTTCCCATAAAAACCTGGCGTGTTCAAAGTGTAACTGCTAAAACTTGGGCTGGTCAGATTTAGACTCGAACAAAATCAATGTTTATAGTAAATATTAAACACTAAATGGCACTAATAACATTCCACATAATTGGTGCCCCTCAAGATGAAATGTTGTAGAAATGTAGTGTTTCCATAAATACCTTGGTAATATAGCGCGCTTTTTCAAGTCTTTGTTAGAGATGCCAGCAGAGATCAGATCGTTTTAGCTACAGTTTCCAGCAGAACCACAGAAAGAAAGTTAATTTGGTTGGCAATTGACGCCTTCCAATTGTTGCGTCGTTCCTTTAGTTATTCCTTTAAAAAAAATTGTCCTTACCACGCTTTGTACATAACTATTTCGACTGTCCCTGTATATATTCCCACTTGTTATGCATATATACAATTGTCGAACAACAATCAAAGAAGAATACAAGATGTCGCGGTACAACTATCAATAATGAACGTGTCTGTTAAGAAGCAGCATGCCATTTTCGTCAAACTTATTTGTAGATCGCTGTGGAAGCATTCGTGGATATCAGAATCATCGCCTTCGTTGTTTAACCAACCAGTAATCTTCATTTTCGCTACCACAAAAAAGTAACCAAGTCAGTCGCCATCGTCTTACAACCTTTGTTTGTTTATTGAACCTACTTCGAAACAACAACAAGCAAGTCCTTTCATTCATATTCCTTTCGTAATTATTCCAATTTCTAGTACATGTGCTGTATCGATGAACAAATCAAGATTTAAAACCAATTTATTTTATTTGTATTTTTAATCAATAAACACGTTTATCATTAGTGTTCTTTTAACATCCCTCTTATACAAAAGCATCCCACGCATTCCATCATATACAGTCCACACAACCTTTGCACACGCAACATTAATTGGTCCTGCGAGCCGCATTTTTTAAAAATAAAATGCACTCGAAAATTATATTTGTGCATTTTTGTTAGTGAATGGTGGCACAAGTTCCAGAATTGTTTGAGGACGCTCCGCTTATGTATATAGCGTGTCTCAAATACACATAAGATTCAATGAGCCAAAGTAGAACAGTAGTCTGCGTATCAATTCTTGGTACACGGGCGCAATTCGAACAGCGCAATAAACAGCAGAGTAAATGTAGGTTAATTTATTTACATCGCTCCATAGTAATCATAATGGGATCGATAGACTGGATCGGGTTGGCTAGTGAAGTATGACATCGATATTTTTTTATTTTTGATTGATTTGATTTTTTGATATGCGGAACACCCTGTATAAAATTAAAAAGTTGACTATTTATCGCATATGTTGGAAACAGGTGCCTGTCGGAATACGTGTGTGTGAAGTTAGCAACTCATTATTGCAAAATAGAGATGTGTTGTTTCGGCTGGGTTTGGATTCAGTATATTTTTCTTATGGAGGCTTGAAGTTTTCACTAGAGCTCTGGGCAGCTATTTTATAATTCTAAACCTCTCTGCATGCTGAATGTAAACAAATTTTCTCATGGAGGATTGGATCAGGAGTGGGGTTCTAGACAGCGCCTCACCAGTTTTTAAACCTTTCACAGCAGAGCTTTGTTGTAACCCGAGTTGTAACCCAAAAAGGTCGATTCACATTATACTTCAGGTAAAGCTTGGCTTAAACTGCCATCAAATATTCTAACAAGCTATTAAAATAGGAATATTCACATTTGATGTTTCGCTCACGATCATTGACCACAGTCTTTTTCACTTCGGATATTTGAAGGAACCAAGAGCGAACTATTGTGTTATGTGTGTATAACACTATTAGCCGACAGTTCAATTAAAGCTGGACTGTGGTGCTAAGGGTCCCTGGTTCGAATCCGGATTCAGGTATGGATATTTGTAAATGTATAGTGGGTTGGGTTGGTAGAGCAGCCTTGGCTGAAGCCCCGCCCATTCAAAAATAAAGGCAAAAAAAAATCAGACAGATTTGATAAAATATGTTATAAAAGATTGACAAATATTTTTTATCAAATGTAATCGTCTGATATTACTTCCTATAAATTATATTTTATAAAAGATCTTTGTCAAATATCTTTTATAGTCTAATACCGGCCCTTAACTTATGCAATTGCCTTCCTAAAGTAAGGCTGATACTGTGAATCAAACACAAAAGTTTCAAATATAATTTATAATAATTAAAGAACTATGACCAGATACCACTGTACAAAATTTCAACAAAATGCATTGTTACTCTTATACTACACGTGTGGTAAATTATTGAGTCATATAAGGAAAGAAAAATACAAGTGAGTGATGATTCACTATTATAGATAGGTGATCGACCTTTTGAACCATGTTAAACAAAGTCTTGATTAAAAGTGCTACTTACCGGTCACAGTGACACTGCCAGTAGAAAATATTTTTAAAGTTGCTCTTAGATCTTTCAGTTTGTACGTCACGCCAGGATGTAATTCAGGTTCATAACTACATCAACAGTGAACATTAACAATTACTGTACATAAAGTAACTTACTCAGCCTCTTTGTGTCTCTCTGAGAACGAATTTATTTTAATGGCGAAAGGCATGGAGCACGTTCCAAGAACATTGACCACCCTATAATTATTAAAATGTACCTTAAACCCTAACTTTTGTAAACAACGAGCGAATCGACGCGCAGCAATTCTAGCTTGATCCTCACTAGTAGCACCGGTGCACGTGACTTTACCCGAAGACCAAATCGTCGCGGTAGTATATGGTCTACGTAATTTCATCGTAATCATGCCGTTCTCGCGTCGGTATTCGACATTCATACCAGTCAAAGCAATCTCGCGAAGATTTAAATGACAACGCACACTAAAACTACACACTACATTATTTATTACAATATCAATTTCCGGTTCCGCTTCAGATTCGATTTGCTCCGTAATGTTTTCATTCGGCACTTGCTCGAACTGTTCCGTGTAATTACTATCTATGCATTGTCCTATGTTGGTATAATCGTCTATATTTTGGATTTCCTTAACCTCCCGATGTACAATTAGGTTGTTCCCATTGGAAAGTGGCTTCATGCTATTCTTTTGAACAGCAGTTGCCATAATATTCATTTACTTCTACCGAGAACTTCTTGTGCTTGTCAGCAAGTCTAGAAGCACAAACACACGGGCCAATTTGTTAAGGGAAGGCCTACAAAAATAAGAAAATTATTCGTTGTCAATTAGCTACACCCACATAATGAAACTTACAGGAATTTACATTTAAATTGAAGGCAAAAATCTCAAAATAGTTAAAGAAAGAAAGTTCTCAAAATAAAAGTGCATCATTAAAACAATGGATGGTTGGTCTTACCTTTTCTTTTAGGAACGTTTAAACGGTGTGCCGTTCGTAAGATGCAATTTTCCAATTAACTATTTCCACAGAATTAAGTGTCAAATTAAACGAAAATAACATCATTTAAAAGAAATCATTATACAATACTTTTCTGTGAGAAGATATACCACACTACTCCTCACTTCAGTGACCAATGTCAGCAGTTCTTTGCTGTTGGCGAATTTTAGTGCAGAATATCACCAGTGGGTGCGCTGTAAACAATTCATTTGCAAGAGTTCAAAAATAGAATGAAAATTTATTGATTTTGGCGTAAAGTCGCCAACAATAAACAAATTTAGATGTCGTTGTCGCCACTTATAAACCATGTTCGTCGCCGTGCATTTTTAATAGTGGTAGTCCAACTTGAATTTAATTATTTGGTAGATCATGTACAGGATGCTTCAAATTAAAAGTATGTGGTAAAGAGGTGTGTAATTAGCGCAGCCCTGCGCGTAACCAGGGACTCTCATAGAGAAATCCCTGGGAATATTGCTAGTAAAGTAGACGATTGGAAATTACGCGAATACATCTTCCGTCTTTCTAAAAAACCTATGGCGAACAAAGATTGTTGTTTTTGAAATTTTACTTAACTTTACTCGCTTTAGTGTTTCACATTTTAAAAGGGCCAGTTTACTCTCGCCACGGAAAGCGCCTTTTTCACTAGTTGAAAGACTGAAGTAGAACAGGGACCTCTCCCCCCACTTTCCGGTTAGGCGATGGTGGGTGAGGGAATTTCCTGGTGACGCAATTAAAGAATGACCTTGTTTTGCGGTGCAAGGTCGTGGCTTGGGATTTCCCGGTGACGTAACTGACGAGTGACCTCGTTTGTGATGCAAGGTCATGCCTGGGTGACGGAAATAATGAGCGACCTTGTTCGTGTTATTTTTTTAATAAATATGTTTCATTTCAAACAGTTCATCTCAAAATGCACAAACGAACAATAGAGAAAGATAATTGATAGAGAAACAAAACGATTTTAAACTAAACAGAAATTGGATGATTTTTCTATGTACACGCAATTTATCATTTTACGAGTTGTTTTATTTCAAATGGCCGTACATGTGTTTTAATGTGTTTTTGTACTAAGGCCCGGTTGTACAATGTCAGTTTAAACTTCAGTTTGGTTTAATCCGACAGATTTGAGAAATACGATTGGCCCACCAATCGCAATTCAGAGGGAATATGTCGCTTCAATTCTGAAGTACCTATTACCTACCTGACCGAGAGGTCAGAATCTCATGAAGTCTACTTTTTATAATCCTCATAATCATTCAGTATCATCCAAAGTGTTACATAAAAGTCAGAGTGACACAAACGTCACTTGTCGCTTGTCTAAAATTTCACATTTAAATATACCTACATTTAGATTATGGTACAGGCGATCATAGTAAATAAACATCACTTGCGTGCCTAATGAGTAAAAACCCAAAAAAATGTAATCTCTCATGCGTCTTGTGTTCTTGTTTTACCGGCAATAACGAAACAAGTGAAGAAGATTTTGAGCACATCTCCGAAAACGAGCCGTTTGATTATGTTGTTGAAAAGCTGTGCATTAAGAAGTTACCCTTACGAACATTTGCTACGGCCGAAGATGTTGAAAATTACAATAAGAAATGTGTCTAATTACCTCTAATTATTGACATTTTAACCCATATTTTTTCAGTAACGCTACTTAACGAAGTTGCATCGCCAATGACAAGGCAAGACCTAATAGCGGCACCGAGTAATATAACATTTCGCAAAAATTTAGGTGGTTCTTCAAAAGCGTTTCGCTATCAGCCATCACCAAAACCAGTATCCATAAACGATAAAGAAGGTCAGATAGTTGCGAAAATACTAAACAAACATGCGTCTCTTTACACGCTTGATGATAAAAATCCAATTCCGAAAGATCCTTTTAATCCACCAAGAGATAGAGTATTAGTCCCAGAATCAGTTTCCACAGTTTTGCGCCGAAACGCAACCCTTCCTCCATTGCAAGTTCCGGTTTGTTGTACCTTATACTATATTCGGTTCAACGAAGAAAGCTTGATTTATATTGTTTCAGGTCGAAGTTCTCCATAGACCTACAAGTTCGTTTAAATATCCTACCAATAAGAAACGTATGACCAGAGACATTGAAAAAACCATTAACGCACTTAGAGTAGCTCCAAGATCTCCTACTGCAGTGCAACCTCGAAACCAAATTAGCGCAATCTCGGTAACGCCAGTAGATGGTATTAACTCGCCGTAAATGCTTTTATATTTAGTAGATTTAACGGTTTCAGTTAATGAAAGCACTGAAAGCGAGAGTTCTTTGTATACTTCGAGTCAAGCATCACTACTACTGGACACCAACACAGTTTTTAATTATATAAAAAGTAATGATCCTGAGTCGATAATGGCGACCGTTGATCTTGAAACTAGAAGTTCAATAGACAATGTGTGCATAGTCATGTAATTATCCAAAAATCATAGCATATGATTACAGAAGCAATCCGTCGACTCCTTAGAAGTTAATCACGATGAAGACGAACAAGGCTCGCAATACGATTCGAAGTCACAGCAACAACTACCATTTCAAAATTTTAAATGGAAAATTATAATCAAACGTCATTCAGGTATATAGAAGCGTTTATAGGCAGACATGTATTATGGTAGCGTGCAATTTTAGACAAAACTCAAGGCGCCTCCAAAGTGGAGAATTTCCATCAGTAAGTAGATACTATAGCCCAAATTATAAATTAAGATAGAACTTGGACGGATGGTAGATGCAACTGCTAGCAGCATTGGTGTAGGCAAGAGTAACCTAATTGTATTGTACCTATAAGTATTCAATAAAGTAGGCAGAATTGAAATTTATTTTGCAATCTAAGTATAGAACAACTGTACTCGATTAATAATAATTTAAGCAAGAGATTCCAAATGTAACAACATTGTTGCATTTTGTTTATGTAAAATTATGCAAATTGTGTGTTTATTCGATCACTTTAATGATTCAGATAGATGTCTCATCCTCAAATGTCCCGAAATTAAAGGGTCACATGATAAGAAACGAAGAAATACGACAGAAGACAGAAATGGTTTGGTTATACACAAAATTGCAGTTTAAAACACCACGCAAACATTAAATTTACAGCAATTTGAAGAAATATCTTTAAAAATAAACTAGAAAATCAGATAGTGCAGATTAGTGTACACCATGGAACTTCCTGCGTGAAGTTCATTTGGTTGTAAAATAGCGGTACTGTATGCACACCCATCACACAAAGCTGTGGATATTTTCACGCCATTTATATTTTTGGGCGGCGAAACGAAGTCACCGGCGTCGTCGGTTTCCGTTAATGAAAATTTATTGATCAATTTAGAATTTTAAAGTGCGCAAGAAATTCTGACGTGTAAGTGCATTCTAATTCTAACAAACGTTATCGAATATTAGGCGTAGCGTCATGTAAAACCATCTCATTACAGTAGATACAAAGTATCCTTAGTTAAATGCCTTACATCTTAGTTAGAGGCAATCTTGCTTCCTATACCGGAAAATCTCCCTGGCGTATATTAGTTTCAGGCCTAAAAGCGACCGATATCGAACAGTTAAAAAGATTTCCCAGCGGTGGTTATTGCGACGATTCTACAATTGTTTACATGCAACATCCCTGCGTGATTTTAACAGCGTTAGAAGTGTTGGGTTATAAAGTGGTCGCTTCTTCGTCGACAAGTGTTAAGCAAGATTATAATGAGTACATGTGGACTATGCGAAGGGAGTTTTCCGAACCTGATCCTTTAACCTCCAAAGAATCGCACGTTAAGACACAAAAGGACCTTTAATTTATTTTACCAATATGGATACTACAGTGCGAGATGCAATGTCTTTGTTCACTCCTGATCCTTCGTTTGTTTATATTGCAGTAAAAGCTTCATTGCACGCAAAAGCTACCGCTGTTTTTGGCTTGAACAAGCAGGAAGAGATTGCACTAAGCAAACGTTTTGACAACCACAGTCAAGAAATAATAAATGGTGTTTTGTTAAAAGGTGCACCTATACAGATCGTGAATGCACTTGCCGAACTGGGATACCGAGTGATTACCACTACCGGCGAATCTGAAACTGTGTGGACCATGCAACGTGAAGTTTAAAATGTCGAACTGTGAGCACTCTTGTGACAATGCAAAGCATACCTGTGTTAGACACTCCAGTTTAAGTCAGACTTTAGATGAATTAGATTTCGAGCGTGGAGTTTGGCCCGCGGCACAATTTGGCGACCTCAAGAAGGTTCAAAAGTTAATTAACAATGGTGTGGACGTCGATCTGAGGGACTCTGCCGGTTACACTAGTTTACATTATGCGGCAAGGAATGGGCATTTAGATGTATGTAAGTTTTTGATACAAAGCAAGGCGGATATTAATGCCGTTACTAGATCCGGCAGGGTGACGGCACTGCATCGCGCCTGTACTGCAGGTAATTTCGATGCTTCATGAGTGGGTTAACTAAATCGGGTTCTATTTTAGGACAATTGGATGTTGTTAACTTTCTGATTGAATGCAAAGCGAATATTGCAATACGTGATAGTGATGGAAAGACCGTCTTGCATAGGGCTGCTCAGGCAAATCATTTAGAAATTAGTAAAATTCTCACATCTGCATATCCAGAATTAAAATTAATTAAAGATAATAAAGGAAAACTGCCTGAAGATTATATTATAAATGAGGCTATTCGTGAACTATTTAACGTATAAAAAGAATTATTAATACTATAGTAATGTGGTACAAAATTATTAAATAGTAATATATATTTTATATAATTGTATTTTATATAATGTAGAATTTCAGACGATTTTTAATTATTAAAAAATGAACTTAACAATCAATTATCAATTCTTGTAATATTTATACTTCATATTTATATTGTCTATATAATCTATGTAATTTATGCTAATCTAATAAAATGTTTGCAATTGATGTATACAATTACTTTTATTATTTAATTAAGCTAATGATCACTTTGTGTTTTCTCCAATAGAAATATTTTAAATTTTTTTTAACGTGGGAATTTTTCTGTAGATATTCTGAGAGGCAAGGTTTACAGTTTAATGCCACGCTAGGTGGGGCTTTTTAATATAATTATTATAAAATGTCACTTCCTCCAGGGACTGATGGAAGTCATGAGAGGATTCAAATATTTTATCTTTGTTTATTTATGTGAGTTGAACAATCAAAGGTTTTATTAACCATTTACTTGTACTAGTGCAAGTAAATGTGGAAAATCCAATGAATGAATGGAGTCACTGTTCAGTGTGTCAAGTTCATAAGATTTTTCCTATCATTAAGGATTTTCGGATCCTGTATACAGTGCGTTCGATCGAGAGAAGAGGGTCATTTCAATATCTCTTATTTGGCGAGATGTGACAAATTTGACAAATATAATTTTATATGTGACATTATGGTCTATCCGATCACGTATTGAATCTTTTGAAAAGAACAATCAATTTGCTGTACGATATCACAACCACATTTTTTTAAATATTGTTAAAATATCTTCTTTTTTGCCTAGAAAATTTGTCTTGGGTACGTATTTCTTGCCTTTTTACGAATTAATAGCGCAGCGCTATTTCTGATTAAAAGATAGTCATGTTTACATTTTTGAAATCGGAAAAAAATTCTATATCAATAATGACACAAAAAGTAAAATGACTTCCATAAGAAAAAACAAAGCTGACGTTGCTTGACTGGAAACGTCAAAATTAAAATTTAAAAATAGCATCTTATTGTAGAGGGAAAAAGTGATCATAATGTGTCATTTAATTCGAAATATCTATTTAAATAACTTACGATTTTTCAAAATGTCATCTGTAAGTGGTGTAGTGCCGGAGCCTTTGTGACTCAGGCAGACTTCTTTTATATAAATACAGTGATATTCATGTAGACGTAGACATAGGGATTCCTATGTCTACTTTTACATGGTAAAAAGTCTTCTGAAAGACGCCTAATTTTATGCAACCAAAATAACTTCTTGAATCAAATAAATATCTGGCTGTCATATTAATTATTAATTTGAATATTGTTGCTTTAGCTTTACAGAACATAAATCTCTTAAGCTCCTTTAACTATAGTTATCGGTACTATACCAATTGGAAATACCAACTTTTTTTTTTAGTTGAACACATCCCACACGAACCGAAATTAGAATATGGAAGTCAAAGTGATAATATTCAAATTAATTTTGTTGTAGGTAGTTACTTTGGTTGCATAGAAGACTTTTTATCATGTAAAAGTAGACATAGGAAATTCCTATAGGAAATCTCTGTCTACTTCTACATGAATATCACTGTATATGGGGATACCCCATGATACTACAACCATTGATTATACATACGTATAATCAATACTAGGTACAACCACAGACAAAAGAGTATTTTAATCTGTGGTACAACTTAACAAGTATCCTTCGCGGATGAATATCTTCACTCTCCCCCTGATCCGACCCTGTTTAAGGATGAAAAGAAAAGACTGGAAACTATAACTTAATATTGAATGATAAGTTAATTTAACGTTATGGGGAAGTTACATTATATTTTACTTGCATAGTTTAAATTTATAATGTTAAATCTCAAAAGGAATTTAAAAGGGACATCTAATTTGATTTGAAGCGGGAATAATTGTCATCCAATTTGATTGGCTGAGGTTTTGCAAATTAATTTCCCATTGGTTAGCTTTTGGGTAGAATTCTGTAATGAATCCAGGGTTATAAGACTGAAGAAAACAAAATGGATGTTTCGAAGTTGTTATGCGACTCATCTTTTTGTAGACTATGTGCCGAAGAAAACAAAAACGGGGCCAGTTTATTTCCACACAACGAAAACGACCAAGATTTAAGCCAACTTGTGAATAAATATTTGCCTTTAAAGGTTAGAACTTAAACATTTTAGTCATCTCATTGAACACAATTTGGTTCCTTTTCTGGTTGAGGGAAATTCAAATTAATTTATTAAGCTTATTGTAGGTTGAACGGGATGGCAAGTATCCTATGATTATATGCCCGGGATGTAATATACAGCTGGAAGCCACAAAACAATTTCTAGATCTCATTGTTGAGGGACAAATTAAGCTACGAGACTTATTTCGACTGCAGCAAGAAACGTTGCGCCGACAAGAAAAACAAAGGCAGCAGTTAGAAAGCGCATTGAAAAATGTTAATCCATCGTCAAGTGTTGGAACTTACGAAATTCAAAGGGATGACACGGGTGAAAAATTTCTTATTCAAAGTCAGTATCGCAAGTATTCAGTCTGTCGTAGCTACAAATGTGATTGTAGTATTCTCGGAAGGTCCCTTATTTCCACCGGAACATGAGATGTCCCTTAAATCGGAAGGTCTGGAACGTCCGAAACGTAAACGAGGCAGACCTCCGAAACCCCTGCATTCTACAAACTTAGTCGTAGAAGAAGAAACGAAAGATGTCGAAGAACCCGATATTGAAGAGACAATAGACGATTTGGAAAGTAGACGGAAACGAAAAATTAAGGTGCCCTCCCGTTTCCAAGAGGCGTTACAGGTTAGTTTCTTAGGGAAGGTTTCAATTTTTAATAGTAGCACTTATAAAGGGTAAGGAACTCGACCGCATCTTTAAGGAGGAGGGCGTCCTCGGCGACGAGTCGTTATCCGACGAGGAAACGTATTCGGAGACTAAACTGACTAGTAAGGCGGGAGATGAAATAATCGGTCACTTACAAAACAAGGAGGGCGAAGATCTCGGCGAACTCGTGATCGTGAATCGAAGCACGAATAAAATTCGGATCAAGGCGAAAGACGGTTTGAGCATCGAATTTGTTTAAGATGTTCACGAAATTTATTGTGACTGTTTAGAGACGGAAGGCGAGAAAAAGAAGTACGAGTGTAAAATTTGCGGGAGAGAATTTCAGCATTATGGACGATATGAGATACATAAAAATTTTCATCGGAATATTAAGTATCAGTGTTGTGTCGCAGAGTGTAATTTGAAAGATACTGAGAAGTCCATTATTGAGGAGCATCAGAGAGAAACCGGTCACAGCGGGATTGTCTTGTTTGAATGTATTGATGATTATGTAAGTTTTCGGGCTTATCGTCCTTATTGCATTCCAATTGCTTCAGTGGCCCTTTATAGCCTTGTAGTAGTGTTGTCCTTGCGTGCGCACAACTGTTGGTAGTAAAACAATATTAAGCTATAGGACATTTAAAGATGTTCATTGGCCGATTGATAAAATCCAACATTCTTAAGGGCTTGCATTAATCATTGTTCTCCACTTGATTGCAGGTGGTTAGGCAACTAAAGATGCACAAAGATGCCCCGGAAAATATTTGTGATAATACTAAGGATCCTTATTTTATTTATATAGTAAGAACTGAGTCAGAGTGTAAAATTCATGTGGTGCAAAAAGTAAATTACATTCTTTTTTTTTTCAATTCAATAACATTTATTTCAACATTCAATAACACTCTTCCATTATGTCAAATGAACTATGAAATAACACTCCTTATTTGATGTACTGTTTCTTATGAAAGGGTAATATCAACATTTGTGATAACTAGGTTCCTAAGTTTATGACGTAGCGGTAATCACTTGGCAAGTATTTTATCTATAAAATAAACAAGGTCACACATATTACATGTCCCCTTTAACCTGGCATAAGTAGTGCTTGGTTGTAAGCACAGCATCAGGGTGCAGGCTTGAGAGTATAGTTGGAGATAGCTCTAATTTTTGCTCTGATCAGAAGGGAGTAGAGGTTGCTTATTTAGAATTTACCATTGCTCAAAAGGCAATGTTTTCGTTGGTCTCACAGAAAAAAAACTGGTATGGGTAATAACAATGGTGTCAAAAACCGACAAAAAAAAACTATGAACCAATGACAACACCAAAGGGGAGTACAGTTGTAAAGTAAACAACAAAGGTGTAAGTGGTGTGGCCAAACTCCTGCCTTGTATATCTGCTTAGTTACATTTACAAGGGTCGAAAACCCCACTGGTATTAAATAAAATTGAACTGCACTGGCAAAAATCAATGAAACAAAATATCCAAAATCCGTTTCCTGCAAATAATTTCCACGGGTCAATTCCTTTAGGAATATATGATATGATATCCTTATGCAAATTCAGTTATTGACGTGGGTAATAACACCTTCTGAGATTTTTTCCGCAATTTACCATAACCACGTAATGTTCCGTTATTCCCGGTTGACGAAATCCTTTGACACTTTTATGGTTAAAAAATTCGAACAAGCTTCACAAATCATTTTTTTTGCTTTTAACTAACACTCGGTTATCATTGGCAATTGCAACGCAAAAAATACCAACCCCGAAAAATTCAGCATACTGCTGGTAGCTTAAATAATTAATTTTTTAAATCTGATTAATCCCCTGTTAGTTTCTCCGTAATTTTGAACGCCCACAATGGCGGCTTAACTTGGCGATGACTAATTAAAAACTGATGTAATCCTATCCCAACCCTTAAAAACAATTAAAGAACAAAGACTCATTAAAAACCCCTGCGTAAAAATGACAACAGTGATATGGCTCATTTAATGTATCTCTGAAACCGTGAACAAATTTCAAAAATGTTAAATAAATTCGAAACCATTTTAATTAGACATGGCATCATATTGACAAAGTCACACTTATGAGGAATTCGAAAATGCCATCAGAAGAGATAGTGCCATTTGAAATAAGAAAGTTCTGGTATCGTTCTGATACAACCGGAAAAGAGGCCATCTGAAAATAATTTTAAATGATTCCTTTTCTTTGATTATTCAAAAAATGAGTCCCGAATCGAAATTCCAAACCGTTCCTGAGATACTTCTAATGGTCCACTTAAAAACGTCGCCCTGTACATATAAAAATAATAATTATTATTATTACTATAACAAATTTTACATAAAATATAGTAAGTAAACGCTTTTTACATTTTTCAAAGTTTATTACAAATAAAGGAATAATGTACATGCCAAAAATAAATAAATTAAGTCTAATAACAGTTTAAAATAATGTAAAAAGTAGATTTAGTTTCATTTACCAAGATGCGCTTTGGAGTCGGTCAACACTTACCGAGCGGACTGTTAGTACTGATTCTTTACAAGGAGGTATTGTCAGAAGGTAACAAGAGCAAAAGAGCGGTGGGGGTGCAAATAGTTGCGCAATTGCAAAATAAAACTGGTGCAGAGCGAGATTCCGATAGCGACCACTGAAGGGTTAAAAGGATTCATAGGGAAATTATATTGTAACATAAATCTAATTACGTGATTTTTATTTGCAATAAATTTATGACAGTCTTGAAATAGATTGATTTATAACAGTAAATTAGTATTTATCACTCACAATTTATAACATAACACTAGCACGACCTATTTATCACTAGTATTTCACTATCGGCATCGATGTTGATTGTTGGTACAGACACGAAACGCTATTGGATTTGTTTATATAGCAAATAACAATCTTTCTAAAATGTTTTAGAACAAACACGTCATATTTCCTGGAAAGAATGCCACGCTCGGACGGACGAACTTTGATATAAATCACCTTGTATAACAATTGCAGTTTCATTGAACATATTTTTAGGTTGTAACTTTCAGTCCTTCAACATGCCTCGATCATTTTTAAAATGTGCGTGCGTTAAAGCCAAAATCTTTTACCCACCCTGTATAACCAGCAGGAAGGAGATTTGTAAAACATACCCTGTGACAATTATTTTGATTTGTTGCAATTTATAAAAATATGTTTCTCTTATTTCTTCTATTCAGTGGTCTTGCATAATATAGTGAAATGCAGTAAAATTCAGGATTATTCAAAGAAGATTGAATACATTGCAAACATTTGTTTTAATCAGCAACAATAAATACAGGTACACAATTCATCATAGGATAGAAGAAACTATACAGTTTTAATGTCTCACTAGTTATATCAAATAGCGGCGCCACATTGTCTAACTGCTTGGTCCAAAACCAAATCCCTCGAATAACGCCGTGGTTGATGGGTCTGCTGTTCGAAAACGTATTTTTGCAAAAAAAAAATGTACCTAGTAACCCAATAAGACTGTTCCTCGGCAATGTCTCGAGAACCCTTTCGTCGTATGACTTAGGGGTAAAAAATTATTGGGTAAATCGTTGGAAAAATGCCCAACAGACGGCGTAACTGCCATCTTAAATTTTAAAATTGCATTTTCTTTAAATTTCGCATGATAAACTAAAAAAAATTTTTTTCACATTTTTCAAGAGAACCAGTTTATCTATCATTTTCGTACAAACAAAAACTCAGTTATTTCAAGAACAAAGATGGTGTGGGGCGGGGCGTTCAATTGTTTTTGCAATAACTTTCTTTAATTTCTTAACGCTTTGACCGATTTTAACAAATTTGGTATGTTTGAAAAGAGCATTCCTTGGACAATGAGAATCAAAAATATAGTTAATTAAGTTGACTCTAGTTCACGTTTGGCTGCCGACGGTTCTACATGAGTCCAATCCGACTTCAACCCAACTGCCTTAAGAACGGATTAATTCCTATTTGTAGGTATTTTCTAGTAAATTCACCCCCAAAAATGTGCAACCTTGCCTTTTATTTCATATTTTCGATGATATCCAGTGCATCTTTCTCGCGTTTTCAACCACGTACTCCTCCATAAAATAGCCTTATTTATGATCTAATGTCCCATAATTCATTTAAAGGCAACATTTTTATTACGTCAAAAACACAATTTTAACTAGAAACTAGGAACAGCAAATCTGAATATAGTTTATCATTTGGAGTTGTCATACATTATGTGGATAGAAACCATCCCCTAACACAGGGATGGGGAAATACCGGCCCGCGACATGGTTCGATCCGGCCTGCGATTTATACTAGTCATCTATATACCTACTCAAAAAAATATTCATGAACAGGATGATTGAGAAACGTCTTGAGAGCGTTTTGCGAATTTCTTCCACAAATTTCATTTGTCATACTAATCCAAGACATCGAAATAAAAATGTTTGTCAAGCTGATTTTTTGTTACGTATAAAAAATCCTCATTGGCCCGCTTAAATGCTGTAATTATTTCATGTGGCCCTCTTTCAAATTTATTTCCTCATCCCTGCCTAACATCTACACTTTGATCATTTAATCACCCCAAAAGCACTGTTAATAAAATTAATTTTAGGGTGCCAAAGTTCATATTCACGTTCCAGAAAATGATGACGAAGTAGATGACGAGAGACTCGTACAGGAAAGTGAACCCCAAAGGCCGAGTCGCATAGGAGATACAGAAGTAAAGTTAGTGTGTAATTTGTGCAACAAAACTTTCTCGTGCAAACAAAATTTCGAAATTCACCTTAAAGCTGTTCACGAAAATCAGCGTCCGTATCAGTGCGATAAATGCGAAAAGTCGTTTCCGTATGTAAACAGCCTGAAATGCCACATGTTGCAGCATAGTGATAAAAACGATAAACTGTACATATGCGAAGTGTGCAAGAAAATTTTTAATCATCCGAGCAGTTTAGTGTACCATCGCGAAGCCGAGCACAACAACGGACGACGGTTCGTGTGCAATAAGTGTAATAAAAGTTTTAAACATAAGCAGCTGCTGCAACGGCATCAGCTTGTTCATTCCAATGAAAGGCCGCATACGTGTAAACTGTGTAGCGCGAGCTTCAAGACGAGGGCAAACTTGTTAAATCACATGCCTATACATACGGGTGAAAAAAAACACTACTGTACGCAGTGCGGGCAAAGTTTCGCTCACAAAACCTCTCTCACCCTCCATATGCGATGGCACAGCGGCCAAAAACCATACGAATGTGATATTTGCATGAAGACCTTCTCGCAGAAAGGCAATTTAGCCGAGCACAAACGAATTCATACAGGTAAGATTATGCGTTTGGCTTTAATTATATGGTTAGTGTCTTTCAGGTGAAAAGCCATTCTGTTGCGATCACTGTGGACGAAAGTTTACTACCTCATCACAATTCAAGTTACATATTAAAAGACACACAGGCGAAAGGCCGTGGAGGTGCGAGTACTGTTCGAAAACGTTCCTACACAAAGACACGTGGAAGTGCCACACGCGCAGGCACCGCAATGAAAGGCCGTATCAGTGCAAGCAGGTAAATGTGATTTGGGGGGGATAAATCTTTGTAATGCTTCTTTAGTGTTTAAGGGGTTTTACTGAGCAATGGGCGCTTAAAAAGCATGAACGTTTGCATACCGGTGAGAAGCCATATGTCTGTGATGTTTGCAATAAAGGTTTTGCGGATTGCTCTAACTTAACTAAACATAAAAAGATACATGGGAACCCTAAGACGGAAAAGGGGTCGACAAAACCGAAAAATATGAAAATTGTCTCGACCGATGGCAAAGGTAAGTTTCGGTATAGTGTAAAGAATAGAATGGCGAGGCAACCTCCATTCAAATTCTTCACCTTCATTCATTTACTTTTAAAGTTCACGACAGAAATGGCCCCCTTTCAAATTGGCACGTCCAGAACTATGAAATCTCATGTCCAAATCAGTTTTTCCCTTGTAATAACCGCCAAAACTAATGGTAACCCATGGCACATGATCGTCAAGTAACAAAATTGTCTAGTGATAGGACCGACATTGTGTTGTGATCGAGTTGCTTGAGGATCTGCGTGCGCGTCGCTCTAAGGACCGGTCAACATAAATAAAACTGAAAAAATGGGACAGTAAAATTTCATTAAAAATGTTAGTAACAAAAACAATCAAATCAGGGTTGCCCTCGCTTTAATCATACGAAAATAGCTCTAGGGACTCTCTTCTCCTTAAGGTCAACTCAGTGTTTATTCTTTGTTCTTGACCTTATCCATCTTCATGGTATAGTTAGAATAGTGATTCGAACAAATGTGTGGCCAAAATTGGATGCTTGGATCCGATAAATTAAAGTACAAAGGAACAGACTTTAGATTCAATTTACATTTCCTATCTTACCTCTTTTACTTACACAGGTGAAAATCAAGTTGTCTACTTGGCATATCAGGATCCAGTAGCAAACGACGATGACGTTCAAACACTTGTACATATAATGGACCAACCAGATCCTAAGGAAGAAATGGACAATTCGTTTATTTCTTCCATTGTACCAGATTCCATGTCGCATCTTCAGGTATTACTTCTAGAGTGTCAAAGACCAAATTAATGGATGTTTCCCCAGGAACTTGTCGACGAGGACGGTAGCGCTATCAATTTAACAACGGCCGACGGTCAAAACATCAAAGTGTTGGCGTCAATGGAAGACGAACAGCAAATCTTACAGGGTCTCCTTCCAAACGGTACCATTGTGCCTATCACGTTAACAATTCAAAACGGAAAACCAGTTGCGTCGATTATGTCTGTAGATGAGGAAGAACCTGTAGACAAGGAGATGATCTCCGAAATGAGCGGTGACGACGTGGAAGAAACCGGGTCAAGCATAGTGCTAGACGATAGTATACAATTTTTAAATGACGACGAAAGTAAGCTGGATAACAGCATTCAATTTTTAACGGAAGATGGACAAAATATATGTTTCGTTACCACGTATAATATAGACGAGGGTATAAATCCACATTATCTCGCTATGACCTAAGACGCATGCCGATTTAATTTTAATTTTATGAGATTAGCGTAATTTATTTATTGTAAATACAATAATTATAAGCTTTTTACGAAAATAAATTTTAACACATAACAAAATAGAACATGCGTTTTTCACTGTACTATTACTAGCCTCGGTTACATAGTAAAGTTTTGAGTATAATCGTATTCTATTGTTGGCATTACAGACTGCATAAATTTTAAAAATATAATTAAATACATGTGTACTCCTAATTCTCCACCTCCTTCTGTAACCGTCTCTATGATGCTCTTCATAACTTCAGCGTGCCTACAACAATTTTAATTAATTTTTAAATATAGTATAAAAGTAAGTGGGCTAGAACAAACTGCCCTTTATATAAAGACGCTGTACATATCAGTTCCCATTTTACTGACCTATAGTGAAACTAGTGCTACATGTGCCCTTTCCTACAACCTAACAAAATCATTGATACAGTTGTAGTCATGGATCTGTGTTCCTGCGTCATTGATATGTGAATCAATTTCAGACATACAAACATACGCTAAAACATTTAGACCAGGAGAAGATGGCAGATCTTTTGTGATGATTACTAAACGTCTGCCACCGCAATATTCTCTTTACATAGGTTAGGACTAGCGTGTAAACGTATATCTTACGTCTGTACCGCAAATCAAAAGCATTGAGCCATGGTCGTGGTTACTTGCGGTTACTTTTGGTTCGCGGATATTTGTGGAACGCATTCTTGCCACATATATCTAACTAAAAAATGTGTCAAATTCTTGACAGTTTTTTCAGCCAAATTAATTACCCGATATTTGTATGCGCCGCTTGATTATTAAGCACTTTGTTTAAATTCCCACCGGAAATTTTTACAGAATTCAATGTAATTTGGATGTTACATCTTAAACAATTGTTAATTACGGTCAATTTTTTATTGGTACATAATTGGCTTGTTTTGGATTACTTTCTTAACACGGGGCTCGCGCATTTTCACTTTGCGGTCTTGACGCACTTTCCATCAAGCATGGATTTGTTTGACTTTGACGTTTCCACCATATTGTTTTTAACCCGACAAAACCAAGCTTTACCGTGGTTAGATTGGTTGCAACCAAACATAATCAAATCGATCGCGTTCCATAAAACAAATAAAAATCGATGAAACCGATTTATGAAACGGATAACCGTAACCGTGGCCGGTTATTTCAATTTGCGGTACGTACTATTACATGTAATGTTCCAAAAATTTGCAAAAAAAATTGATTTGCAAACATCTGTCAATATGAAATATCAAATGTTTATTAATAAACTTTTGTTTGTTGTGTTGTCAAAATTTGAAACCATTACATAAAGGGAATTTTTTTTCTTTCGAAAAATTCCCCTAAAAATCACGATTTCTAGACCGCTTTGTTTTGAAGGTTTGGAATGGACCATCACCTCTATATTAATATTTTTATTAAACGTTTCATAGGGTACAGTTGTTTATAATAATCCATTCATTGCTCCACATCCAGAAGGGCGCTGGTCGATGCCGATCAATGTTGCAGTGGTTGCGAAATGCATTATGCGCAATCTAGTAACAACTGCTGATTTGATAAAACCAGAGACATCTATAGCCTATGTATATGGGGTCAGGTAAACAAGGACCTAACCTCATTTTTGAAATGGAACACCCTGTATATTTACTCTGAAAATATAACATATTAAATTCTCTTTCCAAAAATACAATACTAAAAATTCAATAGTGTTTCAGGAAGATTAAAAAAATAGTATAAAAATCTTTTTGAAATTTTTTGTATTTTTTAATCATTTGAACCTGTTTTAAATTTTTTTGAATATCATCCCTGGTGTGTTATTGTATATAGAATTTAATATTCCTTTTTGTTAGATTAAAACCAACAGGGTGTTCCATTAAAAAAATGAGGTTCGGTCCCATAACTTATTACCGGAGCCTGTATACTACTTTGGAAAGGTGCAGAACTTTTGAAATAAAAATTTTTTTGTATCTCTTTTGATTAAGAAAATATACAAGGTGGTGACTTGCGGAGCGCATCATAGGGCAATGTAAAATTCATAACATGCGATTATTGGCTCCCCAAATTATTTTAGAGCAAAAATGTATTAAAGTTTTTTGTAGAAAATTTTTTTTACGCCAAACCACCGTATTAGTTTTCAATTTTTTTCATATAAAGACCGAAAATTGGAAAAATAAAACCCGCATCTTTTTCAATAATATGCGATCCCATAGAATTTTCTAAAACAAAAAGATATCCAGTTATCAATTAGCAGCAGTTCGAAATGGATTTTATGATCGTCTTGGTTACTGTATTGCAGTTAATGGTGACTTATTTGAACATTTATTGTAAATTGTTATATAGGAAACCGTTTTTAGTAATTTGGTCTTTCTTTATGTTGAATTCTCTGTTCTAAACTAAATAATAATACTCTTTGATAGAATTTGATTTGTTTTAGCAGACATTCCATGGCATGACTTATATTGGCGTAGTTTTTGTATTATAAAATTCCATGGCATCACAGATTATTGAAAAAGATCGGGTTTTATTTTTCCAATTTTCCCTCTTTATTATGCAAAAAATGGAAAACTAATACGGTTGATTTACGTAAAAAACATTTTTCTACAAAAAACCTTAATACATTTTTGCTCTAAAATAATTTGGGGAGCCAATAATCGCATGTTATGAATTTTACATTGAAATCCCTATGATGTGCTCCGCAAGTCACCACCCTGTATAGGGTCATTATGAAACTAGCAACTTCGTATATTCCCCCCCCCCCCATATCTCTTAAAAAAATGAAAATGTTCAATTTTGATGTTACCAAAAAGCACAGGACGTCTATATTACTAGCACTAACACTTACGAGATAGGTACCCTATAAAAGGGCCAAATATGGCACACCCTGTACTTTGCACAAGTGATCCCACCCAGTGTTTAGTTTATAATCTCACCAGCGTCTTCCAGTCACGCAGCTAGTTGGGAGTTCATAAGCGGATACATGGTTAAAAAAGAAAGATTGGAAGGCACAGTTTTTTACCTAACTTTTGACTGAAGAACCTAAAAGGACTTATAAAGATTCTTAGAGACTGATGTAAACTTTTAAGGCCCGGTTGTTCAATCATGGTTTAATCTGTAGATTAGCTTAAACTGGCGTTTAAAGCTGTAAGCTTAGTTTAATGCATTGCACCACTGCGGTTTAACGTTAAACTCCGTTTAGATTAGAGGTTTAACTAAACGGCGAAAGAGGGCCGTTTAACGCTCCTAAACCGTCAAACATAACCCCAAATACCTAAATAATCAAACAAACGCGAAAACGTTATTCTTGTCATTTTGGGCTGTTGGTCTCATGATTTGTTAATCAAGATGAACTACACGGATTTTGATGAGCCAATTACTGATGATGGTTTTTTGGAGCTAATGCAGCTGTTTTTGGACGATGAAGAAGAACCTCTCGTTCCAAGCAATACCTTGCTCGTCTACATCCCTCGTTATTTTCTTCGCTGGCCCTCCCCCAGTAGCATTTAAATATCTCTTTTCATTTGCAAATTTTTTTTGGGAACCTTTTTTATATTTTCATATTTGCTTCTGAGTGTTTTCGCATCCCTTCCTTGACCTCCTGCAGCATTAAACTCCTCAGCCAATTGGTTTCCTGCAGCGTCTTTAATGCGGTTATTAAGAACGTCGGTTTTTTTACACTCTATTGTTGCTCGAAACTTTTTGACGAGCTGCAGAAGCATCGCGTCTTCAGTTGGATTGAAGTCTACAGATCGCGGTCGCTTCCGGATTAAATCAGCATTCTCCATTTCCAAACGGTGTTACTAGCCACGATTAATTACACAAAAAATACAGACACTATTTCAATTACGAACAAAACAACATACACGCTTGTAAACAAACCAAATTTGAAGTTTGAATAGCGTAAACGTCAAAATTTGAGCGGATTACAGTGTTGCCACCAATATAAATTTCATTAAACGCAGTTTAGTTAATCTCTCCCTAAACTGCGAATGAGCAACGCAATAAAAGATAAACTGTGGATTATCTTAAACTACAGATTACCTAATCCGCAGTTTAAACCGTGATTGAACAACCGGCCCTAAGTGTGCCAATAAAAGTAAACTAAAAATGTATTTTGAAGATAATAAGGTGTTTTGGGAGAAATGCATCCTTTTACAAGACAATTCATTTAGGATATCAAGAGCAAAGATTATTGCAACAAATAAAAAATGGCGATTATGAGATTTTTTTAGTCTAATATTGATAGGGAGACATAGAAATTGTTACTTGTTTAGATATTGGCATTACTGTGTTAATGTGTTACCAACAAAAGATAATGGAAACATAGATGTACTTATGTGTGTTATTTCTGTTGAGGCCCTTTTCTTAAACAGTATGTTATACAGGGTGGTGACTTGCGTAACGCATCATAGGGATTTCAATGTAAAATTCATAACATGCGATTATTGGCTCCCCAAATTGTTTTATACCAAAAATGTATTAAGGTTTTTTGTAGAAAAAATTTTTTTACGTCAATCAACCGTATTAGTTTTCAATTTTTTGCATAATAAAGACGGAAAATTGGAAAAATACAACCCCTCTCTTTTTCAATAATCTGCGATGCCATGGAATTTTCTAAAACAAAAAGATACCCAGTTATCAATTAGCAGCAGTTCGAAATTGATTTTATGATCGACTTGGTTACTGTCTTTCAGTTAATGGTGACTCATTTGAACATTTATTGTAAATTGTTATATTAGGAAACCGTTTTTAGTAATTTGGTCTTTCTTTATGTTGAATTCGCCGTTCTAAATATACTACTTTTTGATAGAATTTGATTTGTTTTATAGCAGACATTTTTGTATTATAAAATTCCATGGCATCGCAGATTATTGAAAAAGATGGGGGTTTTATTAATCCAATTTTCCGTCTTTATTATGCAAATAATTGAAAACTAATAAGGTTGATTCACGTAAAAAATTTCTTTCTACAAAAAACCTTAATACATTTTTGCTCTAAAATAATTTGGGGAGCCAATGTTATGAATTTTACATTGAAATCCCTATGATGCGTTACGCAAGTCTCCACCCTGTATACATGTGTGTGCTTGTGTGGATGTCGTATTTTGGGTCATCAGTGGGGAGTCGGGTGTGGGATCATAAAGCTTTAAGAAGCAAGGAAATAGTGTCTTGATTTAGCTTTGCTAATTTTGCATTTTGGAGTTCATACAGGTTCATTGTAAAATGTAGTCACTTTGCTTTCTGCTTTGAGCTAGTAGGTACAGTATTATTGTCCTAACTTTATAATTTAATTTAGCAGCATTCTTCATCTTGAAATACAACTAGTCTAAGAGTTACCATATTAGTTGACCTTAGATAAATTATGGATTGGAGGAGGTCCGGCTAACTACCCATCTATTTCATGTATGTACTTGCTGTACTTTGGAATGTTATTTTTGACAAATGAGTAAGGAGCGGAGTTGCTTTTAAATTTGTTCGAGTTGGCTACTTGTAACCACCAAATGTTGTATATACCTCTCTTGCTTCAGATTTTCCACCTATAATGCCCTCTGTGAACGTGAACAATGATTTGGAATTTTCTTCCCTTGGTTCTTTTGTCTGCTGAGTATTGATGGCTCTGGTAAATCAAAGCCAACTAATACAGTTCATTTTACATGTAGGGATGTACTTAATTTTTCAGTGTAGAATTCTTTGGTGAACAGAAAAGTGGGTTTGTAAAAAAAATTAAATTTACCCATTTTCAAAATAATGGGTTTATCTCGTTTGCATTTTGCAAAGCAAATTATTTGATGAAGGAGCATGTTTTTCACAAGTTTCAAGTCAGGTCAACTTGGGTTGTAGATGAAAATCTTACAAGGCCACACTCTAAAGAAACTGGTGTATTATGTGTTGCCTATATCTCAGCATGGGATGCAATGTCAATATTGGTAATAATGTAGAATCTTCGTATAGAATTCATCAGGGGACGCACAGGTCCCTCAAAAGAACTTACCGACAAGGATGTACAGATGCCATTCGAGGGACACTTAAATGAGGATGAACTTCCATCGTTACAGTTTTCATAGCATAATCTTTGCTAACATCCTGATAAACTTGCTCCACAGTCAGAGGTTTATGGTTCTAATGAAATACACGTAATTATAACACTCCAGAGGAGATGCCTTACCTCATCGTAACCTGTGAGCCACAGTCGAGGTGTTTGATAATATTTATCGTAAGTTATATGCAAGTCGTAAGTACGAGTATGTATAATTTCCCCATCTTCCGATTCATCGCAACGCTTCTCCAAGGAGGGCTGTACAACGGTCGCCTCACCGTTATCCAACATTCCACTCTCTTCGAACTCTTCCATGTCGGCCGCCTCTTCATTATCATCATCTCCATCGTTATCACTGTCGTCATTCAAGGCATCCTCCATACTCTCGGCCTACACTCAATAACTACAATTACATAGCAAAAAATGTGCATACCTTTGCATTATCCAAAGACATGTCCGTAATTTTGTCTTCGAGCCCAGTTGATGAAGTATCATAGTGATGCGTATCGACCCAACCGTTATCGGCGTCGTCAGATTCGATAATGCACTCTAGATCTTTGGAGTATTCCATTTGTTCGCATCTTCGCGAACACGGTACATTGCGGGTAATAAGAAATTGCTTCTCTTTCGGAAGGTACGGCTTTAACTTTGATTCATCCCCCGAGGCCCACTGCCATGTCGGACAATGATGAACTAAATGATCACCTGCTACCACAAACTCTTCGGGTGTAAGCACGCCGGTTTCTCGAAACTTCGATTCCTACAATTTGAAACTGTTTATGTGCGGTATGGGTTTCGTTAGTTATTTACTTTTAAAATTGGGGTTAAGTATTCCGCAACCCCTAATGCGGTTCCCTTAACGCTATTAATAACGTTTTGCATCCTGAAGTAACGTTTGCAACTACTGCTAATTAAAATCCTGTAACAACCATTTTTGTTGTGCGAAGTGCGACTTAGAAGTTGCTAAGCTAACGCAAAAATCAATACAGTAGAAGTTAGAAAAAATATGAGGATTTTCTATGGAAACTCACGCCTTGGTCGTGAACCTTGTGGATCTTAACCCTACATGTCAGCTGATATCTGTCACTTTTGACATCTTGATAACAATTTTTGCCTGCGTTGGCGTTGCAAAAGTGGGTGTAATTCTGTGGGAGAATCGTTGGTTCTCTCCCGATTCAAATAGAATTTCTTCTATTATACGTATTGACAGAGTATTAATTGGTCTCGTAAAGATAGGGTTAAAAAATGAATGTAGGCAACACACAATACACCACACGTTCCCTTGGCTCTTTTTTTTTAAGGGTAACGTCGAGGGCTGTTAGCAAAGACTCTTTGCTGTTAGGGTGCCATATTTTGGAAAAGAAAAAAGGAAATCAATTTTCGTGGCGTTATTGCCTAGATATTAAGTTTACGAACTTATTTCAATTTTGGAAATTGTTCCAACTTCATTTATAGATAAATATTTTGGAAAAACAACTTAAAAGTTTTCCTCAAAAGCGCGAAAAGATAGCTTCCGCCGCGCCGCTTGGTTTATACAGATAGAAAATGTGCATTATAATTGGCCTAAGTTTATGTTTCTGCCATCAATCACAAATTAATATTATAAACGGCCAAATTTGGCGATTGACAATAGGCAACTTTACATACTCCGTTCTGTATGTACTGTCCAGCCTTAAGGCCTTAAGGGATTATTTTAAAACATTTTAGGAAACCCCAGCGTTATTGTCTAGCTAAAGCATTCACCTTTCACAGGAATATTTGACCCCTTCTTCATCTTCACTAAGAATTCAGATATCGTGGAACGAAATCAAGCGTTTTCGGGCAACGAAACGTGTGTACTGTTCAGCCTTAAAACAAAGACCATGCGAAATTTCACCTTGTCTTTAATTGGTTGAACGTTACCCATCGATTACATTTCATACATATACAAATGTAGTAGGTACCTATATGTTCATATTTTCATAATTTTGTTAAAGGGTCTGCGCTGATACTCTCTAACTCAATATATTTCACCGGCATAATTCTGCGTTTGAACCAAAACTCGTCTATGATTAACAATCTTTTTTTCACGTGTAAAGTTGGCTTTCTCGGAGGCTGTTAAAAGTGGTTGATCAGTCCATCTCTGATACTGCAACAAAAAACTATTCCTAGGCACCCATCAGCCTCCTTGACACGCAAGTAGAAGCCACACACGTTGACTCACCCACCCTAACGTTAAAAATCGTATGTATAAAGTCATATAAAATAACAGCCTTCTAAGAATAAAGAAGCTTAAATGTCGCGAAAAGTCAAAACCCTATTGCAACATGGTTCTAAAGTGAAAGAGTAACATCCGGTTGGTATGCTGGTACTTCCCTACATGAAATCTAAAATTGATGTGTTTTTTTCTTGTTTCTTGGATCATCCTCACCAACTTTTCGCCACTTCCCCCCTCCTTTGCATTCCCATATAATTTACTTGATGTCCTCCTCTTCTGCTCTACCAATTCTACATTTTCGTCCTTTTTTATTCTTCACTCCTTCCCTCTCTACTCCCTTAATTATTAGTTCCTTGTAAGTACCTACTGTTTCCACATGAGCTTTATATCTTGACCCTCTGTTGCTGTACTTGTGTATCAATCCCTTTTTGTCAGTTCATCTTCCATCATTTCTCCCATTTCCTTCATAGTATTTTTTCTTTGTTCTTCCCACATTCCTTTTGTGTTTATCCTTGGTGATAAACTGATAAGAATTTTTTCTTTTTCACTCCTTTCCTCGAATCCTACCGTCCTGCGTTCCGACGCTATCCTTATCTTCTCCATTTTTTTGGTATGATTTGGTGTCCTTCCGTTTAGCCCCAATACCCATTTTAATACCTTCATTGTATTCCTTCTAGTTCCACCCAATTTCCACCCCCATATCCCCGTTCTGTACATACACAAGCACCTCTCTCACTATTGCATTAAACATGTACCTACCTATAGATATTTTGTTGTTGGTATTTTATTATAAAATCATTTTTAAAATTCATCTCCCCTATTCCTCACACCTGTTTCATTGAGAAATGATCTGGTAAAAATCAGACGAAATCATGACTTGACCATTATATAGCTTTGAATATAAATAATTTTATATTAGACCATAGCATAGTTCTTACACTATGACCATAGGGAGCGCTAGTAAAAATATTGAATGTCGAACCCTATGGAAGGCGGTAAAAGCTAGTGGGAGTTTTCGAGGGCAGTGCGCGACGCAAATGGATGGAATTACTAAAATGACTATAAAAGTTACTGCTACAGAAAAAAAAACAAGGACATAACTCGGAGGGAGCTGTTAAAGGGAAAACAGTTGTGTACAAAGGGCCCGAATTTGAGGCATAAGTACGCGTGGACCCTGTTCACCCACCCTATCGTAACAGTTGCGTCGGAGTGGGCCATTGATTTGTCGACACGCAGTGCCCTTTGCCCTACAGTGATATTTATTAAGAAGTAGACATAGGATTTACCTGTATTGTTTTCCCTGTGTCTACTTATAAATGACAAAATCTCTTCTGAAGGGCGCCTAATTTTATTCAACCAAATTAACTTCTTAAAACAAATGAAGTTCTGGCTGTCATATTAATTAATAACAGGCGATCAAAAATGAGTTGCTATCGAGCCGTCTTTGGAAGTCCAAGTTGAGTACGATTTCCCATGTAAACAAAAATTCCAAAGGTGACTCGACAGCAACTCATTTTTGATCGCATATTGTATGAATATATATTAATATCAATTTTTTCTTCTGTTGAATACATCGCACACGAACGAAAATAAAAATACGGAAGCCAAAGCCATAATATTCAAATTAATTAATACGACAGCCAGATCTTTATTTGTTGAAGAGGTTATTTTGGTTTGCATAAAATTAGGCACCCATCAAAAGAGATTTTATCAATTAAAAGTGAACATAGGCAAAAAACAATACTCGCAAATCCCTATGTCTACTTCTTAATGAATATCACTGTATATACAGAAGACTATACTACTAAAATATACCCATAAAAATTTGACATTTAAAGAAAAATCGAAAAAATTTAAATATGGTAGCGGACTCCCGTTACAGTTGTGCCCTTGTATTGTAATATATTTTACGTGCACACTGTTAGAAGGGTGAGTAGTCACTTAGGGTTTCTCCCAAGCTGGCACTGCAATCGTGACTTACCCTATACTCACAGTTGTTAAATTTGTGGGAAAACTACGAGCAAAGTCACCTAAAGGTGGGTTCATAGCTCTCCTTTCATCCGTTGCGTTGGTCCGTCAAACAGATAATAAGTTTTGTTACAGTGAATTGCAATCCGTCCATATCGTACCCGTATATGTTTACAAGGTAAAACCATAACCTAAATTATATTTTGTACTCTACCTACCGTAATTTTCAGTAGGTACCTAGAAATGTATGAAAACTACACTCTTGTTAAAAAGGGACTAACGGAAACATAATGTTCAACTTCAACAAACCTTTCCGTCATAAACTATAGTGTGAATCGGCCTTAACCGTCGATTAAAACGCGTTCGTTAGGGAGATTGAAAAAGCCGTACGCGGTCAAGGACATGCTAATTAAGCGCGCGAGTATATTTTCGTTACGCTGAATAGAGTAAATTTGTGTTACAAAACTTGCGTTTGTTAAAAAATTACGGAAAGTAAAGAAAGCGAGCTTGAGTATGTGAAGTTTCTCCTTTTTAGGCAAAATACCAAAAAAACTCCAAAACAAACCGAAGGCAGCGACTCCCGGGCCAGTTAGTTGGAGAAAAAGTTATCCCACGAGCAAATTCCAGTTTCCGTTAGTTAATTTTCTGCATAATTGTCGCTAATAAGGAGAGTTGTCTCCAGCCTAATGTTGGTATCAAAAGGATCACCTGAAAAAGGGGTTTCTTATATATGAGGTATCGTAAATTATATTTGATCGAAGTAAGAAAAAAATTAGTAAAGAAATTTTGAGATGGAGATCAATCAATTTTGTATTGCATGCGCTTCCAGTTCAGGTTAGTTCATAAAATCGTGGCCACGTAAATTAATTTAGTTAAGAAATTTGAATTTTCATCATGTCTCTTATGGTCACTTCGCGGTTAATTTGGCAAGCAAGCAACTTTCAGCAAAAAGTTTGAAGTCAATTTTCAGAAAAGTTTGGAAAGTCACAGTAAAAAAGGGCAAACCGGAGGCCATTTTAAATTCCTGTAAAAAATTTAGATTCATTTAATAAATTCGGCAACGAAAGGAAAATCAACCCCTTTAATTGGAAATCATAGTCATAAAACAGAATGGTCAGGATATCTAGGTACGCATAATGAAGTAGACTAAGTAATTATGAGAAGGAACCTACAGACCGCGAATAATTAATACATTGAAGGGCGATAAAAGTGAACGACGATAATTTGATTAGAACATGTAAAAGTGAAAGTAATTCAATGTCTGCAGTTTTCATTGAAAGATAAGAACGTTTCGGAAAATATCGTTTTATTATCGCGATGAGTAGCGCCCGCGAAATTGTTTTCGAAGTTAGTTTACATTCGGCTGGCAAACCGGTGCATTTTTGAGCAAAAGTGAATGTGGGTTAAATAAATCACGTACTCGTTAATCCAAATTAATATTAATTGTGCGCGATTTTTTTCAAATAGAACTCCTAGTTTTACACCGCAAACTACTTTGAGGATTAGCATGGCTGTTGCTCAAGGTAAGTTAGTTTACTCATGCTAACTCTTTGGTAATTACTTCTGCAATCTTCATTGTCTTGACAACATGTGAAAATGCAGCCTTGAAATCAATAATGTGTTGTAACACATATATAAATTGGCAGAAAGATAATGTTTTGTTAGTACTTAATTAGCCTAATTTATCGTGTAAACAGTTTTATCAGTTAAATTAGTGCAGCTATATAAAATTTGCTCGTGCAAGGAAAATTAGAGGAACTTCCCTCGAAACAAATTGAATTTTTTGTTTGGCATGAATAAACGAACAAAAACAACACGCGCGACACTTATTTTTTTGGAATTTGGATTTATGGCATTACCATAGTACAACAAATTTCAACGCGAAACGCATTGGTGCAGGGTAATTTATTCCCGCCCATTGTGTCCACCGTAAAATTAGCGTTAAAATTACCATGTACTTTCATGATAATCGCATTTTATGTTCTACTTCTCGACTAGGCGCACTCGGAAGGATTTC